AAGCAACTTTTTCCTTTGCAAAAATTTTCTCCGAGGCACCGTTAACGAGTTATCAACGAAAAACAGTGACCAATGAGAGGCGAGCTCGGCTGGCGCGAGGCGACCGAGCCAGTGAGCGGAACTGGGCTTTGCGCGCTGGTTGACTGGGCCGCCTCGCGTCAGTCGTACTCGATTCTTATTGGTCACTGTTTTTCGTTAATAACTCGTTAACGGTGCCTCGGAGAACATTTTTGTAAAGGAAGAAATTGCTTCAAATGATCCGAGGAACCCGCAAGCAAGACATTCTTGGGACACCCTGCATTTCACGGATTTAGAAGATAGCAACTAAATAATTCACGCAAAGTAACAAAATTGTTTTACAATTTGAAAATACGATCGTGTTACTGTCAACTCGTTAAAATGATTAAGAACAAATGTCTATGCAATTCTTACATTTTAAAATTCATCGGGACAATTTTTATTCTGCGCAAAGATCCACAGTTTAATCCACAGCTTAACAAAAAAGGATTTATTTATTATTTTCCAGTTATCATTATTTGCTTATTTAAAGAAAGAGAAGAGATGTTTGCATCCAATAGTGAAAATCCGTATCCACAAAAATCAGTCGCATTCTTATTAATTATTATTTGATCATTGTTTCCCCGACTTTTGCGAAACAACGCATAAGAACAGAAATTTCTCAATAATTAATAAATCGACTCACATTCGAGACAAAACGGCACCGAGAACACGAAGTCCAATGCCCAGCGATGTTCCCAACCGTCGTGGACGTTAAAAAAAAAGAAAAAAACGAAACACAAAAACATCTAATTTCCGCCGAGAGTCGTCGAGTCGACAGGCGGGGAAAAAAAATTCAGCGGGACAGCGAACGGTTACGAGGTCGTGTAATTTGGTCGCGAGAAGAAGACGAGGGCGGCGTCGCGAGGCGAGGACAATCGTCGGCGGGGCTCGCCGAGCGTAACTTAGGGGAACGGTTGCCGTTCCAGCGGCTCCGTCATTCGATATTTTGATTCGCGAACACGGTTTCGCACTAAGCAACGCTCCGCGGG